AATACCTAATACAGGTTGGACCTCCGTGGTCCGGCACCCTTGGGACCTGACCAATTCCAAACGAGGGAATTTGCCGGATCAGGGGAAGTCCCCTGCTATCAGCCTCCCAGGATACTGCTGGCTGGCTCCGCTCTACCCCCAATGCCACTGTGCTCCAGGCCGGCTGCTACAGGACTTGGGCTTGGCACACTGCTGCCAGGTGGCTCAGGTTCTCCAGGGGAAGAGCTCCCCAGCCACCACAGCCCCACTTCTGCCCCACCCAGCTGAGGCTTCTTGGGGACAGTACTCCACGGCTACCCTGCTTCTGTCCCACGCAGGGTTTCCCAGGGACTAGGCTCTCTGGCTGCCCTGCTGGTGGCCTTGCTGCTGCCACACCCTGCCAGGGCTCCCCTGGGACGGGGCTTTGCGGCTGCCCCACTGCTGAGGTGCCAAGATAGGGCTCCGCAGGGACAGAGCTTGCAGTCCTGCTGCTGCCCTGCGTGGCCATCGCTCTCTGGGGATGGGGCTCACCTGTCTGATGGTGGGGCTCCCCTCTGCTGGACTCCCTGACTGGCTCTCATTCCCGGGCGCTGGAGTTCTCTGGTCCAACAACATCTGTGATCCTGCCAGACCGCAGATGTTGACAGACCAGAGTCTCCCGGATTTAAGAGGTTCAACCTGCAGCAGACATTCAAGCGGTAGAGAATCAGGGGTGGTTTCTATAGCTGCCAAATATACTGAAGAATAGTGTGGTATCTCTTCCTGTAGTAAAATGTTAATACTGTTTCTACCAAATGTACAAGAATTAGAACTATTTGCACTTAAAGGTGCCTCCCAGAGAAGGGAAACAAAAAGCAAGTTATGATTACTCAAAGCAAATTTGACTATTCAGTTAACAGTCACAGCAATAAGCAGCAGGTGGTTTAAGACAGTAGTAAGCATACTTCTGGGGTTATCCGCAGGTCTTCCATGGGATACATCCACATATCTAAGTAGTTGTATCATTTTATAACAGGCTACATAAAAAGCACTAGTAAAGTCTGTACAAACTAAAATTTTGTAAGACTATTTCTTCTGCTCTATATATTATATAGTGAAATGTAAGAATAATATTTATATTCCACTTGATCCATTTTATTATTATATGGTAAAAATGAAAAAGTAAACAATTTTTCAATGCTAGTGTGCTGTGATTTTTGTATTTTTATGACTGATTTTGTAAGCAAGTAGTTTAAGTGAGGTAGAACTTGGAGTACGCAAGATAAATCTATCTCCTAAAGGGGTACGGTAGTCTGGAAAGCTTGAGAGCCACCGATTTAAGATATTTTCTTACACTTAAAGCAGTTTTAAGATTCAAATTGATAAAGTGTGTTCATTAATATGAAGTTTTAATTATTAAAGAAATAGTTAAAATAAATTACATCTGGCTTCTTTGTCACAGAAGTCCCACATAATAGAGTCTTTGAGCTTCTACTGTCAGAAAGTTGGGCTTCCACCTTTCTCCATCAAAAGAACGAGACTGTGCTCTGGAAGATGCAGTTTTTGCTTTGAACACTGATTCCTTGTGAATAAGTTGTGCAAAACCAACTTCAACAATGAAGGGTGCTCTCCAGTCCACTGATTTTCACTCTTTGGATGTAAATTTCACATATTTTTAGGAATACCCGTGGGCATCCAAATGTTTTGGTCTCTCTTTATATCTAAGCACCTCATTAAATCAGAGAAACTGTCTCTGCTGTTCAGGCTTTTACATTCTATTAGTTATCCTGAAACTAATCAGGTTTAACTTTCAGTGTGGAATTTTAAAGATTATAAGTTCATTTTAAGGCAACTGAAATGCTGCCATATATCTTAACTGATCCTAAATGCTGTGCACCTCCTCCCCCATTATGGTGGTATCTAAGCACTTCAATCTTTAATGTCTTTATCCTCACAATGCCTTTAGAGACAAGGAAGTATTTTACAGATGAGAATCTGAGGCAAGGAGACTCACACAAAGCCTGTGTCAGAGCAGGTCACAGAATCCTAGGCTAGCATCCTAGCCACTGCACTATCCTTCCTTTCTTCCTTTATGCAGCAACAAACGTTATCCAGAACTTTAGTCTATTATTTTTGTAAAGAAGGATAAGCAGTTAACAAGAAGTCTAAAATTCCTTCCACATATATTTGTTGACACTACATCCCTTTTTAATCTGAGTTGGTTGAACAATGTAAAGGGGGCGTTACTAATTAGCAAAAAGCATTGCCAGCACAACCACAGCTAACAGTTACTGGTCTAATTTAGCATAGAATGGTTTGGTAGACTGGGTATGAGCATTAAACATCACAATAATAAATAACTGTGAAGTTTTGTAGGGGTTTTCTTCATTTGTGGTTTTATCAAACTAGCATGCCAGTTTGAGAATACAAGCTACTTAGTGACAAGTGAATATATTTATTATCTGCTTAGATTTATAGTATGTGCCTGTGCAAGATGCATGTCACAATACAAATAAAAGTAAATACTATAGAAAAGTTTGCAGTGACCATAGAACAATCTCTCCAGCAATATTTCCACATACCTTGGGAAAGCATCAAAGCAATACGTTTTCCTGGTGTCAGGAAAAGCTACCCGTAATCCAGACATCAAAGGAGAATGAAGGATTACAGCTGCACACTCGTACCGAGATGCCAAGTCCACTGTCGGGACAGTTCCAATACTCTGACCATAGAGAATTATGTTCTCAGGACTCACACCATATCTGCAAAATTAGAAAATAGATCTCTTTAAAAAACAACCAACCTATGACAAATGAACAGTGACAGATACAAAACACACATTCTACCACTGCAGCTCTCCCTCCAAAATCCAGTCCCACCCAGTATGTAGGAAAGTATCAAGTCTGTATATAAAAGCAGACTAAATCATTATGTAGTAATTAGAACATTTTGGCTATGTCTACACTCGCGGCTTCTTGCGCGAGTAATATGCAAATGAGGCTCAGTGATATTCCACGCTTAGCCTCATTTGCATACCTAATGAGCCACCATTGTTTTCAGAAGAGGCTCTTGCACAAGAAGGAGCGTCTACACTGCCCCTTCTTGCACAAGAGCCTCTTCTGAAAACAATGGTGGCTCATTAGGTATGCAAATGAGGCTCAGTGATATTCCACGCTTAGCCTCATTTGCATATTACTCGCGCAAGAAGCCACGAGTGTAGACATAGTCTTTCAGAATTATCTGTTTGCCGGTTACTCGTCTAAACCATATTTGTGAATGTTCAGGAATCTAAGTTATCTTCCACAACACAGTGCACTAACATGTGTTTGACATTGAAAAAAACCCAGTCTTACAGGAATTTCTATCCTAACGCTGACACACAGTCTCTTGTTTTAAAAAAAAGGGATCTTTGTTTTATAAAAACAGTTGACTCAACCCCAAAAGATATAATCAAGATCAAATTAACTGGAAATTAAATACATTTATATATTTAATGTAAGATGGATGGCTCTTGATTATTCCCCTCCATTCTAGTAGCATCCTAGTCTGTGTGCTGTATAGTTTTCAGGCCTACTTATAGCTCAAGTTACAGACTGGTGTATAGTAATCTGCTGCTACAAAACATCACTAATATCACAATCTTAGATATTCAGAAATATCAAAAAGTTGGTTTAAAATATTAAATTATTTTCAGGATACTTGGTCACCACCATATTTAACACACACATTATAACTGCTATTCTGAGAGTCACAAGATAGTACTCACAGATCCTCAACATCCAGCTTAGCTTACTACAAACAGCACAAAAATAATTCACAGTAGAGAACTGCACATTTCTGGTTGTCTTAATCTGTTAGTAGAAGTGCATTTTTTCAATTTAGATTGGCACTAATACTTCCACTTCTATGACACTGGAAATCAGAACCTACATCTGGGATTCTACCAGGCTGTACAGGTTTTCAGCCCATTTGCTGAAATGGTTATCAGCCTGATGCGCAAGACTAAACTGCTTTACCTCACAAACACAAACCCAATGGCCAACATTCAGCTGCTCGTAGGGCAGCAACAAAAGGGATAGGGAAGTAAAGTTATGAGAAGAGGGGACACGATACTAATCATCCTAAAACAGGTTACAGTCTGGTACATTTACGTTTATAATGAAGTAAGATTTATCTGAATTGTAGCATCGCTGGAACAGGGACTACATCTTCCCAGATGTTTGCACAATGCTTAACACAGTGTAACATTATAACTGTAATACCAATTATAAAAACAATTTGTCCCCAGAGTAAACTCTCTCTCTTATTGTTCTGTCAAAGCCAGACTGTCATCTTTCAAGATGTAAAGCTTAGGGCAAATTTGCCTCGCTGGCAGAGTGGGCGCAGGATATAGTGAAATCCCGTATAGCTTGGCTGCACAGGAAAAGAATTCAAGGAGTGAAATTCTGGCCCTACTGACTTCAGTGAAGGCAGGATTTCTCTCAAGAAGTCATTTGAAAAGAATCTGCATTCACTTAATCACGCCTCGTGACAGAGTTTTGGGAGAAGTGCACTCAACTATGCTGATTCACCAGCCATTGCACCCTGCTACTCAGAGATCATCACAACCTAAAAATGGTACAGCAACAGCCACTATGTGATCTGGGTAAGGACAAAGGTGTATTTGGAGTATTTCAGATTATTAATACTGTAGTAGCATATAAAGGCACCAGTCTGGATCCACTGTGCTAGACAAAGTACAAACATACAGTGAAGAGATGTCCCTCTTCCAAAAAGTTTACAATCTAAGTATAGGTGAAAACAATAGCAGATATATAAAGGGGAAGCATAATGCAACAGTCATCAGCTCCCTAGAGTGTGAACTCTATAACCGTGTCTTTGCCTAGAAGATAGGATTTTTCCCCGTTCATTCACTTTCACTACTTTTGTTTTTCTTTTGTTTCTATAAATGGCTTGTGTAATCTGCATTGGCCATAAAGCACCTAGCTATCATAGCGATAGGCTTCTAGAAACAAAACTTAAGGCACAATCTGCATTTCACAGGAAGCAAATCAGTTAAAGTAGGATGCTGTTTGAAGTGCTATAAACATAGGAGATTTCTACACTGCAAGGTCCTGTTTGACTAGGTATCAGATCCATTAACTGGTCAGTTCTGATTATATCACAGCAATGGAGTGGCATTTTTGCTACATTTGTCTTAAGAGAATTAAGGCATTAATAGTGTCTTTTAAAGTACGCAGTACAAAATACTGAAACATGCTGAGCCAAATGTCAAAGGTGAAACTGATACCAGAATTAACAGTGACAAAGCAGGAAGGGCAATTAAAGAGCATTTTAGTTATGTATTTGTCATTCCTACATCACTTCTTGCTAATCAGCACAAAGCAATTAGATAATTTAAACTAGTTATAGAAACTTCTACTATCTTTCCATACCCTTTGCCCTTCCTCCTTTTGATCAGAAGAGTGCCACATCTCTCAGACAAATTCACCTTGAAACATCTGAACAAAACGCTCGTCTTCATGTTTTATATATTCACTGTGGAGCAGGGGGGAGAGGACATTTGATGATTCAAAGCCAAGGTCCATGAATAGGTGAAGCAAAATCTAAACACATGTAGTTTTAAGTTTTGGTTTGGAGGTCTAAGTTCCTTAAAATATTTTTAAAAAATTATAAGAGAGCAGTCAGATGGAAAGTGAAACACAAGAGAGAGGACATGTATGGATGGAAAGAGAGCAGAGGGAGCAGAATCTGAAGGCAAGAAGAGAAGAAATGAAGAGTGAGGAAAACAACCAGACAATAAGGGGAGGAGGGAGAGCTTAAAAAAAAAATCACATTTTGAAAAGACCAATTATTTTCCTCAGGATTCTGTCACCACTCATTTTCCATCCGCAAGACCTAGTATGTTTCTGCAAGAGGAAAAAGACCCTTTTTTTCCTGTTGATCCCACTCAGAGGTGGAGAGAAAGGTTCAAGTATCTGCAATCATAATACACCACTACAATCATAATACACCCACTACAACAGTGGGTCTCAGTCTGCGGGCCAGGACCCAAAACTGGGTCACCAGAATGTTTCAAAGGGTCACATGGTGGCTCCTATCCTACAGGGCTGGCTGGGCTCCCCTCTCTGCTCCAGGCACTGCAATTCTGGGGTTCCAGCATTACTCAGGCATGATCCTGTCACCAACCATGATGACAAGAGTCTGGGTAAGCCAAGATTGAATGAGAGGCACTGCAGCCCCAAGAGCCAGGTCATAATGTCCAGTTAGGGAAGGGGGAAACCCCAAGTGGCACTGCAATCCTCTAGGTTGCAATGCCTAGAGCAGAGGGCCTAAGCTAGCTACCCGTCACAGCACTGCAGCTACCAATGTGTGTGAGGGAGGGAGGTGTCCTGCACAGCATTCACAAGCATTCCCCAGGGAGCAAGGCCTCCCTGAAATCACCTCATGGCCTGCACCCCCAAATGATTTACTGGGTCAGGACAGGCCATAAACATTTACAGATGGGTCCTTCCTGAGCCCCAAAAACACTGAGAGCCCCACTGCACTAGAGGACACAGTTGCTGGCTACAAGCAGACTAACTGGTGACTACTCTGCTTGTTGCCAGACATACATCAATTGGTTAAACTTTGAAACAACAGATCCAGGCTCTCTCAGCATGTCTACATTTGGGTGGGGTCAGACTCGGACAAAAAAAAAAAAAAAACTCAATTTTGATTCCTCCACTCCCCGCCATTCTCACACTGAACATACAGCTTTCATATTTACTACATCTAGGGGCAGTTAGAAATGAAAGTGCTTGAATCAAAGACATTTTTCCAAGTTCTCAGAAGTAAAGGATAGTAAGCCAGTTTGTCCCTTTGAAAAGAAAGGATTTGGAATTTCATGGCATTGTTTGTCCATCTTACTGGAAGCTCTAATAAATCATTTATAAGTAATACTAAATTCACCTTGAAAATGTGTAAAATAAATCCAGCACATTTCTGCTAAATGGACAAACCTACAATATTTACAGGTGATTACAGATTTCTAGAACTCTTGTTTTAGACCACATCTCACCTATGAAAAATCTCATAACCTTCTTCCTTTTTTAAAGTTATTTGCAGTGTTAGTTCCAGGAGGAGCCTGGGGATTAGGGAGGAGCATCCGGCCAGGCAGCACTTACCCCAGGTGGCTCCCAGGTAGTGGTGCAGCGAGACGAAGGACAGCTCCCTGCCCACCCCAAGCCCATTCTGCTTCTGGAAGGAGTAGGGTTGCCAGGTGTCCAGTACTGACCCAGACAGCCCAGTATTTTCACCTCCTGTCCAGTAAAAAAAATCAGAAAATATCGGACACCTAAAATGTTCAATATTTTCTGATTTTTTCCCCCTGCCAGGAGGCGAAAATACTGAACACCTGGCAACCCTACAACACACTCGACAACCCGGCCCAGTCCTCCCCTCCTCCCCCGCTTACCTGGTTCCGCAGGGAAGTTGTCTTCTGGCTCGATCAGAAAAACAAGATGGCCACTGGCAAAAAGCTTCAAAGGCTTTTCTTAAAGAGGCCATGCTGTTTTATTTTTTTGATTAACTCTCGGAGTCCTTTTTTGGGGGGGGCTCAATAACTTTGGTCTCCCCCCCCCTTTTTTCCTCAACAGAATTTTTTCCCTGGTGTTTTTTTTTGGGGGGGGAGGGGGAAGTGTCTTCAGTATTTCTTGTTAAACCACCTGGCAACCCTAGGAAGGAACCATCGTACCCCTGTGGCTCCTGTGGGTGGGAGAGA